AAATACTCGAAGACACTGCCTGGGGGCTGGGAAACACTGGGAACACCAGGAACACTGGGAAACGCTGCCTGGGGGCTGGGAAACACTGGCAACACCAGGAACACTGGGAAACGCTGCCTGAGAACAGGGAAACACTGGGAAATCCTGGGAAACACCCAGAAACACTGGGAAACACTGCCTAGGAAGTGGGAAACACTGGGAAGTACTGGGAAACACCCAGGAACACTGCCTGGGGACTGGGAAACACTGGGATATACTGGAAAACACCCAGAAACACTGCCTGGGGACTGGGAAACACTGCCTGGGAAACACCGGGAACACCGGGCAGCGCTGCCTGGGAGCAGGGAAACAGCGGGAAGCAGCACCAGGAGGAGGGGCAGGAATAACCGATGCCCCCCTGCCCTGCTCCGCAGGCTGCGCCTGGCGCGGATGAACGAGGAGATGCGGGAGGCAGAGGGGCCCTTGGGCCAGCCCGGCCAGTACCCCAGCAACAGCCCCACGGAGCTGCAGTACAGGAAATGCATCCAGGAGTTCATCAGCCTCACCATCGACGAGTGTTAGGGACAGCCCCGCGTCCCCTCGGCCGGCCCGGGGCCGGGCGGGGTCCCTGCAGAGCCCCCCCCTCGGATATTTGGTGTTTTCCCTGCTGGTTGGTCTGGTTGTGATGCCTGCATCCCCTAGGGTTGAGCTGCCCTCAGGGGGTTTTTCCTTTTGTGGGGTTTGAGTTCTCATGCTTGACTACTGGATGGTTGATTTTTTTTTTTTTTTTTTGGGTTTTTTTGGTTTTTTTGGGTTTTTTTTTTTTTTTTTGGTTTTTTTTTTTTTTTTTTGAGTAGGAGCCTCCCAGGGTATGACCACGGATTGTGGCACGTGGGATGGATGGATGGATGGAGTGTGTGGGAGATGAGCTTAGAGGTTAAAAAAAAAAACAACCAAAAAAAAAAAAAAAAAAAGGAAAAAAAATTCAAAAAGAGAAGAAAAGGAAAAACCTTCTGTGACCAGGAGAGAGCCACCAACCCCAGGAGCAGACAAAGCTGTCCCAGAAGAGCTGGCTTGGAATTCTGGCAGGGATCGTGGCGTGGAGCCTGCTCTGCCCTGGGAGGACCCCGAGGTGCCCTCCAGGCTGGTTTGGGGCAGGGATGCTCCAGAGGCCCAGCAGGACCAGAATCAGGATTGGGATCAGGATCAGGACTGGCATCTCTGGCTCCTCACCTTCGCTGCTCTCAGGACTGAAGCAGCCCCGCTCTCCTGGACTGCTGCCCTGGGTGCTGGGCTGCTCAAAGCCATAGCTGCCCTGCTTCCACCCCACTGGAATTCCCAGAAGAGTTCCCATCCCGCTGGAATTCCCAGAAGGGTTCCAGTCCCACTGGAATTCCTGGAAGCAGCAGCGCTGATCCCTGTCGCTGGCGATGGGCTCGGGGCAGGGAGGAGCACCAGCTCCAATTTCACAGAATCCCATGATCCCAGATCCCATGATCCCAGAATCCCATGATCCCAGATCCCACGATCCCATAATCCCCAGGCTGGAAGTCACCTTCAAGTCCACGGAGTCCACGCCCCAGCCAAGCCCAGCACCACGTGCCGCGTCCAATCTTCCAATCCCACCCAGGGATGGTGGATTTGCCTTCTCTGGCTTCCCTGAGGTCTCCATGGGAGAGAATTCCACCTGGATGAGTCCCCTCCGTGCTCCCCCCACGTGCTGGAGCATCTCAGCAGCCTCAGAGCTCCCCAGCTCCAAGGAGCAGCAGAATTTTGTGGTTTTTCTCCTTTTTTTTCCTCTCTCAGCTGCAGTGAGGGAGCGTGGATCTCCTTGGAGCACTTTGCTGCTGTCTCATCCCGGGGCTCCGGGACCTCTGGAATCCTGGCTGGAGCTCAGAGCCTTTCCCAGGAACCTCTGGAATTCTGGCTGGAGGTTGGAGTCTCTTCCAAGGACTTTTGGAATCCTGGCTGGAGGTTGGAGGCTTTCCCAATGTCCCCAGCTGGAGTTGGCACCAGATTTTGTCAGGATTTGGGAACAGGATTTGGGGTCAGAATTTGGAAACAGGATTTATCAGGATCTGGGGTCAGGATTTGGGAACAGGATTTATCAGGATCTGGGGTCAGGATTTGTGGGATTTTGGGGACACCCCTGCCTGGGCTGCACCAGATTTTGTCAGGATTTGGAAACAGGATTTATCAGGATCTGGGGTCAGGATTTGGGAACAGGATTTATCAGGATCTGGGGTCAGGATTTGGGAACAGGATTTATCAGGATCTGGGGTCAGGATTTGTGGGATTTTGGGGACACCCCTGCCTGGGCTTCAGGGTCACGGTGCCTTAGGGATCGTCCTGGCATCTCCAGGGGCTCTGAGGAAACCAGGAATCCCAGGCAGAGCTCCCCACCCTCCTGCACTCCACAATCCTCCCCTTTTCCCACCCCATCCTCTTGGAATTCCCGATGTTTTCCCTTCAGAAACCTGGCAGGGTTTGTTCCTGGCGCTGGAGTTGTCTCCTCAGTTTTTGAGGAGCAGCTCTTCCCCCTCAGGGCTCTCCCAGCAGAGCCCAGAGCCTCCCCCAGGCCTCTCCTGGCTCCAGCAGTTCCTGCTGCCCTAGGAAAGTGCTGCTGCTCTTTGGGCTTTCTCTTCCTTCTCACCCAAATCACCCCAAATTTCAAATTTCACCCCAAATTTCAATGCCCCCCCCCCTCCTGAGCAGGGCAGTGCCTTCCCTTGGGTGTCACTGTCACCTTTCCCTTCCTCCATCCTGCTGGTGCTGCTGCCTTCGATTTAAAAGTTTTAAAAAGCAGGGTTTAAAGTTAAAATAGCCAGGTTTGAAAGTTTTTAAAGCCAGGGTTTAAAAGCTAAAATAGCCAGGTTTGAAAGTTTAAAAAAGCCAGGTTTTAAAAGTTTAAAGCCAGGGCTGAGCAGTGTCCTGCAGCTCTGGCCCAGCTGGGATGGGATGGAAGCTGTGGTGCTGATCCTGCTCCTAAACCCACCCCAGATCCCAATCCTGGCTGTTCCTGGCACAGTTAGGATGGGCTTAGGTGCTGATCCTGCTCCCAAATCCACCTAAATCCCTGTCCTGGCTGCTCCTGGCACAGTTAGGATGGGCTTAGGTGCTGATCCTGCTCCCAAATCTACCTAAATCCTAAATCCCAGTCCTGCAGCCCTGGCCCAGCTGGGATGGGATGGAAGCTGTGGGGCTGATCCTGCTCCTAAACCCCCCCCAGATCCCAGTCCTGGCTGCTCCTGGCACAGTTAGGATGGGATGGAAGCTGTGGGGCTGATCCTGCTCCTAAACCCACCCCAGATCCCAGTCCTGGCTGTTCCTGGCCCAGCTGGGATGGGATGGAAGCTGTGGTGCTGATCCTGCTCCTAAACCCACCCCAAATCCCAGTCCTGGCTGCTCCTGGCACAGTTAGGATGGGGTGGAAGCTGTGGTGCTGATCCTGCTCCTAAACCCACCCCAAATCCCAATCCTGGCTGTTCCTGGCACAGTTAGGATAGGCTTAGGTGCTGATCCTGCTCCCAAATCCACCTAAATCCCAGTCCTGGCTGCTCCTGGCACAGTTAGGATGGGGTGGAAGCTGTGGTGCTGATCCTGCTCCTAAACCCAGCCTAAATCTCACTCCTGGCCCAGCTGGGATGGGCTTAGGCGCCGATCCTGCTCCCAAATCCTCCCTAAAGCCGGTGCTGCAGCCCTGGCCCGGCTGGGCTGGGCTGGGACCCCAAACCCCAGGGACACCCCAGACCCCGGAGCTCTGCAGGACCCCGATCCCACCCTGCCCCCCGGCTGGGGGTCCTGCCAGGAATTCCCTCCCCAGGGCCCAGCCCATCCCTGGGGCTGATCCCCCCGAGCCCTCAGAGCTCCGGAGAGCGGAGAGATTCCACTTTTGGGGAAAAAAGGAGAATTTTCAGGTTTGAGGAAAAAGGAGAATTTTCAGGTTTGAGGAAAAAGGAGAATTTTCACTTTTGAGAAAAAAGGAGAATTTTCACTTTTGAGAGCAAAGGAGAATTTTCTCATTTGAGAGTGGAAAATTTTCACCATTTGAGAGCAAAGGGGAATTTTCACCATTTGAGAGTGGAGGAGAATTTTGACATTTGAGAGTGGAGGAATTTTCACATTTGAGAGCAAAGGGGAATTTTCAGCATTTGAGAAAAAAGGAGAATTTCTTCACTCTTGAGAGCAAAGGAGAATTTCTTCAGTTTGAGAGCAAAGGAGAATTTTCTCATTTGAGAGTGGAAAATTTTCACCATTTGAGAGCAAAGGGGAATTTTCAGCATTTGAGAAAAAAGGAGAATTTCTTCACTCTTGAGAGCAAAGGAGAATTTCTTCAGTTTGAGAGCAAAGGAGAATTTTCTCATTTGAGAGTGGAAAATTTTCACCATTTGAGAGCAAAGGGGAATTTTCAGCATTTGAGAAAAAAGGAGAATTTCTTCACTCTTGAGAGCAAAGGAGAATTTCTTCAGTTTGAGAGCAAAGGAGAATTTTCACATTTGAGAATGGAGGAGAATTTTCAAAACTGGGAGTTGAGAATTTTCAGTATTTGAGAAAAAAGGAGAATCTCTTCATTCTTGAGACTGGAGGAGAATTTTCACCATTTAAAAGTGGAGGAGAATTTCTTCACTCTTGAGAGCAAAGGAGAATTTTCAGCATTTGAGAGCAAAGGAGAATTTCTTCATTTTGAGAGCAAAGGAGAATTTTCACATTTGAGAGTGGAGGACAATTTTTAAATTTGGGATTTGAAATTTTTTACCATTTGAGAAAAAAGGAGAATCTCTTCATTCTTGAGACTGGAGGAGAATTTTCACCATTTAAAAGTGGAGGAGAATTTCTTCACTCTTGAGAGCAAAGGAGAATTTTCACATTTGAGAATGGAGGAGAATTTTCAAAACTGGGAGTTGAGAATTTTCAGTATTTGAGAAAAAAGGAGAATTTCTTCATTCTTGAGACTGGAGGAGAATTTTCACCATTTAAAAGTGGAGGAGAATTTCTTCACTCTTGAGAGCAAAGGAGAATTTTCACATTTGAGAATGAATGAGAATTTTCACATCTGAGAGCTGAGAATTTTCACCATTTGCCTGCAAAGGAGAATTTTCACATTTGAGAGTGGAGGACAATTTTTAAATTTGGGATTTGAAATTTTTTACCATTTGAGAAAAAAGGAGAATCTCTTCATTCTTGAGACTGGAGGAGAATTTTCACCATTTAAAAGTGGAGGAGAATTTCTTCACTCTTGAGAGCAAAGGAGAATTCCCACATTTGAGAATGAATGAGAATTTTTGCATTTGAGAGCTGAGAATTTTCACATTTGAGACTTGAGAATTCCCAACATTTGAGAACAAAAGGGAATTTCTTCACTCCTGAGAGCAAAGGGGAATTTCCACATTTGAGAATGAATGAGAATTTTTGCATTTGAGAGCTGAGAATTTTCACATTTGAGACTTGAGAATTGCCAGCATTTGAGAACAAGAGGGAATTTCTTCACTCCTGAGAGCAGAGGAGAATTCCCACCTTTCCCAGCCCTTTTCCATTCCCACCAGGAGAATTCCACACTCTGCTCTGCTCGTGGATTTCAGCACTGCCACATTTGAATTTTTTAACCTGTACAGCAACCCCAAACCGATTTCCAAACCCCCCCTGCTTTTCCCAACTTTTTTAGGAGGAGCTCAAACCCCGACCGATCCTTCTGAGAACCGAGGAAAAACGCAGCTTCCACTTTTTGGGTCGTTTGATTTCATTTTTTTCTGGGAATTCTGGCCACAAACCCCTGGCCAGGCTGAACCCTGGAAGCTCAGACTCACTGCTGAAGTTGGAAAAAAAAATAAGAAAAAAAAATGTAAATATGGATGCAAAAACAAAGCAGCATCTTGCAAGACAATGGATTTATTTAACATTTATTGGTACTTTAAATATTTAGATGTATAAAAGCAACTTGGTGCACTTTTCCTACCTGACAGTATTTTGGGGGGTTTTATGTTCTTTTGTTATGGGTTTTTGTGCTGTCTTTTTTAATCGGTGGAATTGTTAAGTATTTAATTTATTCTTATTATTGATGTGCCCAGAGGACTAGTGCAATTTTTATTCAATACAGTTGGTCTGTATTTCATGGCAGGATTTTTTTTTTTTCCCTTAGTGTTTTTAGGGAATATTTTTCCAAAATTCCTTTTTTTTTTTTTTAATCCCCATCCTAATTTTCTTTTCTTTTCATAAGTGTCACAAGAGCTTTTGGCAATTGAGTGATACATGGTTTACACACCTAAATATCTTTTGTAGTTTTCAATGGGGGGTTTTTTTTTTTTTTCCCTTAGTGTTTTTAGGGAATATTTTTCCAAAATTCCTTTTGGTTTTTTTTTTTTCCCCCATCCTAATTTTCCTTTCTTCCCCCCCTCCCCCTTTTCCCTTTGTGTTCCCATCGTTCAAAACCTCAAATTTGAGATAAACCCAACACCCTGCAATCCCCAAACCAAAAATTTCTCCAGGAAAAAAAACAAAAAACAAAAACACGTTAAGGATGCACTTCTCCCTATTTTCTGTGTTTCTTGCATTTTTATTTCTCCTTGGGTGGGGGTCGTGGGCTCCAAATTTCAATTTGGAGAGCGGGGAAGGCAGAAAATTCCATTTCAATTTTCAAATTGAAATTTGCCTTAGTGTTTTTAGGGAATATTTTTCCAAAATTCCTTTTTTTTTTTTTTAATCCCCATCCTAATTTTCTTTTCTTTCCCCCCTCCCCCTTTTCCCTTTGTGTTCCCATCGTTCAAAACCTCAAATTTGAGATAAACCCAACACCCTGCAATCCCCAAACCAAAAATTTCTCCAGGAAAAAAAACAAAAAACAAAAACACGTTAAGGATGCACTTCTCCCTATTTTCTGTGTTTCTTGCATTTTTATTTCTCCTTGGGTGGGGGTCGTGGGCTCCAAATTTCAATTTGGAGAGCGGGGAAGGCAGAAAATTCCATTTCAATTTTCAAATTGAAATTTGAGCATTTCCAGGCTCTGAGGGAGGTGGGGAAAAAAAAAGAATATTTTTGTTTTTCTTGCCTGAAAAGCAGCTGGATTTGTGTTGCACCAACCTGGCTGGAAGATTTAATGCCCTAAATTGGTTTTTTTTAAAATATTTTAAAATTTTTCTCTATTTTTCCAAGGGGGTGTGAGTGTTTTCTCTTGGATTTAACCACACTTAACAAGAGGAATTTAAAAAAGTCCCCTCAGCCACCAGGATCCTCCATCCTTGGGATTTTTTGGGATCTGGAGGAATTTTTCTCTCTTTATTTGACCCAAGTGCCTGGGCTTGGATCCAGCCTGGGTTTGGATCTCGGGGCTCTGATTCCAACTGGGATTTTCAATTTTCCAGGTTTTTTTTCAGGTTTTTTCAGCCTTGCTGCCTCTGAGCTGGGAAATTTCTTGGATTTTTTAAAGGAAAAAATTTAATAAAAAAATGGGATTGGGAGATTTGATGCCTTTAACCAAAAATCCAGGTGGGAGAAGCTGAGCTGGGCCTGGCATCAAACACAATTATTCATTGGAAAATACCTCTGAGATCATCAAATTCATTAATTAATCACCATTCATTAATCATCTCGCAGCTTCCAGGAGGGAGGATTTTGGGATTGAGAGATCAGGAACGTCCAAAATATCAGGAAATATCAAAATCAGGAGCAGGAGCAGCAAAAATTTTGTGATTTATGCAAGAAAAAGCCAGGAGCTGCTCGAGGAATGCACGGGATTCCTGCCATGGGTGGAAAATGGAATTCTTGAGTTTCTCAACAATTCTTGGGTTGAATTTTGGGGTTCCTCACGATTCCTGATTTGAATTTTTGAGATTTTTTAGCAATTCCTGGTTGGAGTTTTGGAGTTCCTCACAATTCCTGGTTGGAATTTTGGATCTCCTGGTTTGAATTTTTGAATTTCTCACAATTCCTGGTTTGAATTTTTGGAGTTCTTCACCAATTCCTGGTTGGAATTTTTGATTTTTTTAGCAATTCCTGGTTTGACTTTTGGAGTTTTGGAGTTCCCCAGCAGCTCCTGGTTTGAATTTTTGGGTTTCTCTCCAACTCCTGGTTGGAGTTTTGAGTTCCTTAGCAATTCCTGGTTTGAATTTTTGAGTTTCTCACAATTCCTGGTTGGAGTTTCAGAGTTCTGGAGTTCCCCAATTCCTGGTTTGGATTTCTGGGTTCCTCAGCAATTCCTGGTTTGAATTTTTGAGTTTCTCACAATTCCTGGTTGGAGTTTTAGAGTTCTGGAGTTCCTCACCAATTCCTGGTTTGGATTTCTGGGTTCCTCACCAATTCCTGGTTTGAATTTTTGAGTTTCTCACAATTCCTGGTTGGAGTTTCAGAGTTCTGGAGTTCACCAATTCCTGGTCTGGATTTCTGGGTTCCTCAGCAATTCCTGGTTTGAATTTTTGGGTTCCTCAGCAATTCCTGGTTTGGATTTTTGGGTTCCTCAGCAATTCCAGGTTTGGATTTCTGGGTTCCTCAGCAATTCCTGGTTTGGATTTCTGGGTTCCTCAGCAGTTCCAGGTTTGGATTTCTGGGTTCCTCAGCAATTCCTGGTTTGGATTTCTGGGTTCCTCACCAATTCCTGGTTTGGATTTCTGGGTTCCTCAGCAATTCCTGGTTTGGATTTCTGGGTTCCTCAGCAATTCCTGGTTTGGATTTCTGGGTTCCTCAGCAGTTCCAGGTTTGGATTTCTGGGTTCCTCAGCAATTCCTGGTTTGGATTTCTGGGTTCCTCCCCGCTCTGTGCTGTCCCTCCCCGTGCCCGGAATTCCCTCTGGGAATGAGGCTGGGGGGCAGGGGACACCTGGGGGGGCCTTGGTGCCAGCACGGAGCAGTTTGGGTGGAGCTGCTGCTGTCCCCAGAGGTGGCACCTGGGGACACCTGGGGACATTGGGGACACCTGGGACCAGCAGGGCTGCCACGGCTTCGTGTCCCAACAGCAGGGACAGGGATGGGGACAGGGATGGGGACAGGGATGGGGACAGGGATGGGGACAGGGAGAGATCCTTTGGCCCCCTCAGAGGATTTTTGGCCAGCTCTGAAGTTTTTGGCCAGGCCAGAAGCCAATTTTTGGTTATCTCAGATGGTTTTTTGGCCATCTCTGATATTTTTTTGGGCCATCTCAGAGGGGTTTGGGCCACCTCAGAAGCCCCTTTTTTGTTATCTCAGAGGTTTTTTGGCCATCTCAGAGATTTTTTTGGCCAGCTGAGGGATTTTTGGCCATCTCAGAGGGTGTTGGGCCATCTCAGAGGTTTTTTGGCCATCTCTGAGGGATTTTTGGCCAGCTCAGAGGATTTTTGGCCATCTCAAAAGCCCTTTTTTGTTATCTCAGACATTTTTTTGGCCATCTCAGGCACTTTTTGGCCATCTCAGACACTTTTTGGCCATCTCAGACATTTTTTTGGCCATCTCAGACACTTTTTGGCCATCTCCGAGGATTTTTGGCCATCTCAGAAGTCCTTTTTTTGTTATCTCAGAGATTTTTGGCCATCTCCGACACTTTTTGGCGATCTCAGACATTTTTTTGGCCATCTCAGAGGATTTTTGGCCATCTCAGAAGTCGTTTTTTTGTTATCTCAGACATTTTTTTGGCCATCTCAGACATTTTTGGCCATCTCTGAGGGTTTTTGGCCAGCCCGGGGCTCTGCCCTCGCTGTACATAAAATTCCATTCCCAGTTTCCCAGTTCCCAGCCCTGCTCTCCTCCCCGCTCTCTTTGCACCAGGATTTTTTAACCCTTTCCCTCCCCGCACTCTGGACATTCCGGTTTTCTCTCTGTAATCCCCTCTGTACAATTCCAAGGCTCTTTCTTGTGCTGCCTTTTTTTCCCTCTCCCTTCTCTGGTCTCTTGAAGCACTCTTAATAAAAATCTGGATTAAAAACTCCTTCCCTCCTCCTCCTCAGCTTGGTTTCTTGCTGGATTAACCAAAATCTGCGTTTTTAACCCCTTTTTCTTCACCAGGCTGAGCAGTGGGGCACTGAATGGCACAGAAAAATCTGCTTTTTTTTTAAAAAAAAAGTCAAAATCTGTTTTCAGGGCATTTTATTATTTAAAAATAATTTAAAAAACCAAAGTTTGTGGGGTCCAAGGGAGGAAAACGCTCCTGTGCAAACATCCCCATCAAAAATAAAGTTGTTTATTCTGTTTTATGTACAGATAAATTAACAATAATTAACAAAAATTAACAAATATTAACAAAAATTAACATTACCTCGGTTAATAAATAAAACCCCAGCATTCCACAGGAATCAGAGGATTTTTCTGGGACCTAAAGAATTCCCAATCCTGATTTTTTTTTCTCTTTATTTCACTCTGGAAGAGTCGGACTTGGTGGGAATTACCCAGGAAACCCAAAAGCAGCAGAAATTCCAGAGGGAAGGAGGGGCTGGGAATTCCAGGAGGTTTTTGGGAATTCCGGGGGGAGGTTGGGAATTCCAGGTGGGATCAGAACCTGGAGGGGTTTGGGAATTCCAGGATGGATCAGAGCTCCAAGGGCAGGAGGTTTTTCAGAATTCCACGAGGTTTCTGGGAATTCCAGCTGGAATCAAAGCCCAGAGGAGTTTGGGAATTCCAGAAGCTTTTTGGGAATTCCAGCTGGGATCACAGCCCAGGTGAATTCCAAGCACTGCCACGCTCAGGGAGCTCCCAGGGGAGGATCCAGGATTCTTTCCCAGAGAATTCAGGGAATTCCAGGAGAATTCCAAGCATGGCCACACTCAGCTGTGGATCCAGGACATCCCTGTCACTTTTCCCCCAGAATTTGGGAATTCCAGCCCCTCAGCTGTGGATCCAGGACATCCCTGACCCTTTCCCCCAGAATTTGGGAATTCCAGCCCCTCAGCTGTGGATCCAGGACATCCCTGACACTTTTCCCCCAGAATTTGGGAATTCCAGCCCCTCAGCTGTGTATCCAGGACATCCCTGACACTTTTACCCCAGAATTTGGGAATTCCAGCCCCTCAGCTGTGGATCCAGGACATCCCTGACATTTTCCCCCAGAATTTGGGAATTCCCGCCCCTCAGCTGTGGATCCAGGATATCCCTGACACTTCCCCCAGAATTTGGGAATTCCAGCCCCTCAGCTGTGGATCCAGGACATCCCTGACCCTTTCCCCCAGAATTTGGGAATTCCAGCCCCTCAGCTGTGGCTCCAGGACATCCCTGTCACTTTCCCCCAGAATTTGGGAATTCCAGCCCCTCAGGGCTGTCCCAGCTCCTGCCTGCTCCCCACCGGGAGCTGCGGCTGCCCCAATCCCGAGCCTTGGGCTCCCTCCCGAAATTCCCTGGAATTTTCCAGGGCCAGGCTGAGGTCTGGGGCGGGGCTGGAGCCCCCCCGGGCGCGGAGCCTCTGGAAGCAGAAGAGCAGGGACAGCACCAGGGTGTCCAGGAGCAGCTCCAGCATCTCCACCACCGAGAGCACCGAGGAGCCGAACCAGAGGCTCCACTGGCTGCCCATGCTGGACAGCAGCAGGTTCTCCTGGAAAACCCAAAACCACCAGGAATGGGACAGAGTTTGGGGTTTTATTTTGCTTTTTCTATGGTTCTTCTATTCCTCACACCCATATTTGGAGCATATGGGATCAATAGCTCATTTTTCCCTAAATAAAAACCCAAAACCAATCCCAAAGTTCCATCAGCAGGTTCTCCTGGAAAACCAAAAATCATCAAGGATGGGACAGGGCTTGGGGGTTTATTCTGTTTTTTCTATTCCTCAAAACCCTATTTGGAGCATATGGGATCAGTAGCTCATTTTCCCAATAATTTTCCCTAAATGAAATACCAAAACCAATCCCAAAGCTCCATCAGCAGGTTCTCCTGGAAAACCCAAAATCATCAGGGATGGGACAGAATTTGGGGTTTTATTTTGCTTTTTCTATGTTTTTTTTTTCTATTCCTCACACCCATATTTGCAGCATATGGGATCTGTGGCTCATTTTTCCCTAAATGAAAACCCAAAACCAATCCCAAAGCTCCATCAGCAGGTTCTCCTGGAAAACCCAAAACCATCAGGGATGGGACAGAGTTTGGGGTTTTATTTTTTCTATTTTTTTTCTATTTCTCAGTTCCATATTTGGAGCATATGGGATCAGTAGCTCATTTTCCCAATAATTTTCCCTAAATGAAATACCAAAACCAATCCCAAAGCTCCATCAGCAGGTTCTCCTGGAAAACCCAAAATCATCAGGGATGGGACAGAATTTGGGGTTTTATTTTGCTTTTTCTATGTTTTTTTTTTCTATTCCTCACACCCATATTTGGAGCATATGGGATCAATAATTATTTTTTCCCTAAATGAAAACCCAAAACCATCAGGGATGGGACAGAGTTTGGGGTTTTATTTTGCTTTTTCTATGTTTTTTTTTTCTATTCCTCACACCCATATTTGCAGCATATGGGATCTGTGGCTCATTTTTCCCTAAATGAAAACCCAAAACCAATCCCAAAGTTCCATCAGCAGGTTCTCCTGGAAAACCAAAAATCATCAAGGATGGGACAGGGCTTGGGGGTTTATTCTGTTTTTTCTATTCCTCAAAACCCTATTTGGAGCATATGGGATCAGTAGCTCATTTTCCCAATAATTTTCCCTAAATGAAAACGCAAAACCAATCCCAAAGTTCCATCAGCAGGTTCCCCTGGAAAACCAAAAATCACCAAGGATGGGACAGAATTTGGGGGTGTATTCTGCTTTTTCTATTCCTCAAACCCATATTTGGAGCCTTTTTTGGTCAGTAACTCATATCCCAAAAATTTTCCCTAAACAAAAAACCCAAAACCAATCCCAAAGCTCCAAGCAGCAGATTCTGCTGGGAAAAAAAAAAAATCTGATTTTTTATTTATCTGAGCTCTGGGAACAGGAATTCTGCTGTTGGCCTCATGCACAGCCTGGGAGTTAAGCTAACTAATAATTAATATTAACATATAAATAAGTATATATATATATTTTAAATAAATGTATATTAATTAATAATAGCATATAAACAAATATCTATTTCTATATCATGTAAAATAAAGCTTAAATTAATTCCTATTAATTAATAATTACTATTATAACAGAAATAAACAGATATCTTTTTCTATTCTTTACAATGAAGGTAAATAATGAAATCCTAGGAACGAATCCCTCCCAGGACTCTCAGGAATTCCATGGAAAGGGAATAAAGGAGGAGTTGTCACCTACTGAGAGCAGCGGGGCCTCGTGCACAGCCTGCGAGCTCAGCTGCCGGTAGAAGATGGTGACCTTGGCAATGTCCCTCCTGCAGGGACACCGCAGCTGGCACCGGGACATCCCGGCTGGGACTGGGACATCCCGGCTGGCACCGGGACATCCCGGCTGGGACTGGGACATCCCGGCTGGCACCGGGACATCCCGGATGGGACTGGGGCATTCCCAGCTGGCACTGGGACATCCCGGCTGGGACTGGGGCATTCCCAGTTGGGACTGGGGCACCCCCCGTTGGGACTGGGACACTCCCAGCTGGCACCAGGACATTCCCAGCTGGCACTGGGACATCCCGGCTGGGACTGGGGCATTCCCAGTTGGGACTGGGGCACTCCCAGTTGGGACTGGGACATTCCCAGCTGGCACTGGGACATCCCAACTGGCACTGGGGCATTCCCAGCTGGGACCGGGACATCCGGGCTGGGACTGGGGACATTCCCGTTGGGACCGGGACATCCCGGCTGGGACTGGGGCATTCCCAGCTGGCACTGGGGACATTCCCAGCTGGGACTGGGGCATTCCCAGCTGGCACTGGGACATCCCAGCTGGCACCGGGACATCCCGGCTGGGACTGGGACATTCCCAGCTGGGACCGGGACATCCCGGCTGGCACCGGGACATCCCAGCTGGGACTGGGGCATTCCGGCTGGGACTGGGACAGTCCCAGCTGGGATGTCCCAGTGCCAGCCGGGATGTCCCAGTGCCAGCCGGGATGTCCCAGTGCCAGCCGGGATGTCCCAGTGCCAGCCGGGATGTCCCAGTGCCAGCCGGGATGTCCCAGTGCCAGCCGGGATGTCCCAGTGCCAGCCGGGATGTCCCAGTGCCAGCCGGGATGTCCCAGTGCCAGCCGGGATGTCCCAGTGCCAGCCGGGATGTCCCAGTGCCAGCCGGGATGTCCCAGTGCCAGCCGGGATGTCCCAGTCCCCGCTGGGACCGGGACATTCCCAGCTGGGCCTGGGGCATTCCCAGGTGGGACTCGGACACTCCCAGCTGGGACTGCGGCATTCCCAGCTGGCACCGGGACATTCCCCGTTGGGCCCGGGACATCCCAGCTGGCAGTGGGGCATTCCCAGCTGGCACCGGGACATTCCCCGTTGGGACCGGGACATCCCAGCTGGCACTGGGGCATTCCCAGCTGGCACTGGGACATTCCCAGTAGGGACTGGGGCATTCCCAGCTGGCACTGGGACATCCCAGCTGGGACTGGGGACATTCCCAGTTGGGACTGGGGACATTCCCAGCTGGCACCAGGACACTCCCAGTTGGCACCAAGACATTCCCAGCTGGCACTGGGGACATTCCCAGTTGGGATTGGGACACATTTTTTGGGGACTTATTGGGAATTTATTGGGGTTTTTTTGGGCCTTATTGGGGATTTATTGGGAGTTTGTTGGGGATTTATTGGGGTTTTTTGGGGATAATCATGCAGGTTTTCCCATTGCCCTCCCTTGCCCAGCCCAGACCTCATGGATCGGGATGACCCCATGGATCGGGATGTGACCCCATGGATCGGGATGTGACCCCATGGATTGGGATGTGACCCCATGGATTGGGATGACCCCGTTGGGATTGGGATGACCCCACTGGGATTGGGATGACCCTGTTGGGATTGGGATGACCCCATGGATTGGGATGACCCCATGGATTGGAATGACCCTGTTGGGACTGGGACGGGGATGACCCCGTTGGGATTGGGATGACCCCGTTGGGACTGGGATGACCCCATGGATTGGGATGACCCCATGGATTGGGATGTGACCCCATGGATTGGGATGACCCTATTGGGACTGGGATGGGGATGACCCCACTGGGATTGGGATGACCCCGTTGGGATTGGGATGACCCCGTCGGGACTGGGATGACCCCGTTGGGACTGGGATACCCCATGGATCAGGATGAGCCCAGGATTTACCTGCTGCTGCTGGAGTTGTAGCCGTTCTGGTGCCGCAGAGCCTGGCGCACCCAGTCCTGCCACGGGAACGTTGGCATTGGAATGTTGGCATTGGAATATTTGCTATTGGAATGTTGGCATTGCAATGTTGGCATTGGAATGTTTCCAATGGAATATTTGCATTGGAACATTTGTTATTGGAATGTTGGCATTGCAACGTTGACATTGGAATGGTGGCATTGGAATATTTGCTGTTGGAATGTTGTTAATGGAATGTTGGCATTGGAATGTGGGCACTGGAATGTTGTTAATGGGACGTTGATCATGGAAGGTTGGCATTGGAATGTTTGTTATTGGAATATTGTTAATGGAATATTTGTTATTGGAATATTGGCATTGGAATGGTTTCATTGGGAGATTCCTTATTGGAATGTTTGATATTGGAATATTATTGGAATGTTTCTATTGCAATATTAATTATTGGAATATTTGTTATTGGAATATTCATTACTGGAATGTTTCTACTGCAATGTTAATTATTGGAATATTTGGTTTTGGAATATTCATTACTGGAATGTTTCTATTGGAATATTTGTTATTGGAATATTCATTACTGGAATGTTTATTGGCATATTCATTATTGGAATATTTGTTATTGGAATATTCATTACTGGAATGTTTCTACTGGAATATTTGTTAGTGCAATATTCATTATTGGAATATTTGTTATTGCAATATTAATTACTGGAATTTTTGCAGTACCTGGGATTTTGCCGAGGGCCACTTGGCTGTGCCAGCTGAGACCTTGTACAGGGATTCCCTGGGGAGAAAAAAGCAGGAATTCTGAAAATCCTGGAATTCTGAGCAGCAGGAGCTGCCCAGGGAGAATTCCCAGAAATCCAGAAAATTCCCAGGGCAGCTCTTCAGAAGTTTGGGAAAAGCTTCCCAATTCAGGTGACAAAATAAACCCTGAATAATTAAATACAATAAATATAATCAGTAGAAATAAATTTATCTATTAAATTAAATATTGATTAAATAGAATAAATAGAAAGAATTAAATTTAAATTAGAAAAATATGGGACCGTTAATTTTAATTTCCATCACATTTAGATGACATTAAATTTCGAATAAATTTAATTTTAATTTCAATTAAATTTTGAAAAAGATGGGAGCATTCCATTTGAAAATTGAACTGAGATTTTTGGGGCTGACCTGCAGGGTTTGGGGCAGTGCTGGAAACAATCCAGGCGGTGATTCCTGAGCCGGGAGTAGAGCTGGTAAAAGCAGTGCCCTGGAAAAGGGGATGGAAGGAACAGGCTTGGGAATTCCCAGGAATTCCCACTCCCTTGGGAATCATCCCGAAGGAAAACCATCAGAATTAAATCCTAAAATCCTGGAATGAAATCCTAAAATCCCGGAATTTTGGGTTGGAAAGGACTTTGAAGACAATTCCCAACCCCGTGGATCCAGGATCCTTTAAACTCAGGGAACTCTGGGATTCCAAGGATTTCCCGGGGACTCAGGAATTTCCAGGGATTTTTTTTTCCCCAGGGATTCAGGAAATCCCAGGGATTTTTCCCCGAGACTCACTGAATTCCCAGGCTTTATTTTAATTACAAAATTCAATATTTTTATTGTTTTTGCTCACCCCAGGCGGGCTGGTGGCTGTAGTCACTATTCCCTGGCAATCCCAGGGATTTTTTCCTGGGACCCAGTGAATTCCCAGAATTTATTATTATTGTAATTATTACAATATTCAGTATTTTTATTTATTTTGCTCACCCCAGGCGGGCTGGCGGCTGTAGTCGCAGTAGCGCGCCCCGGCGGGCAGCGGGTAATAGAAATAGCCGCAGCCACAGCGCCGCAGCATGGCCCGCTGGAAACACGAGTGCAGGCAGGCCTGGAGACGGGAAAGCAGGGAAAAATATGGGGATAAACCAAAAAAAAATTCCAAATTTCTAGGATGGAAATGGTAGGAGAAAAAGGGGGGAGAAATTTTGGATAAATGAGGAAAAAATCTGAGTGGAGTTATTAGGAGAAAAGGGGGGAAAATTGGATAAATAAAAATAAGTTCTGATTGTAGAGGGTGAAGTTCTTAGGGAAAAGGGTTAAAAAAATTGGGTAGGGCAGAAAAAAATCCGAATCTTTAGGATGGAATCTATAAGAGAAAAGGGGAAAAAATTTGGATAAATGAAAAATATTCTGAATCTGTAGGGTGGAGTTCTTAGGAGACGGGGGCAAAAAAAAATGGAGTTGTTGTTGTAGAGCAGCTCAGCCTGGCTAAGCCGGGTTTAGCTAGGCCAGGTTTAGCTAGGCCAGGCTCAGTACCTGCAGGGTGTAGGAGTTGTTGCAGAGCAGCTCCTGTAGAGCAGCTCAGGCTGGCTAGGCCAGGTTTAGCTAAGCCAGGCTCAGTACCTGCAGGGTGTAGGAGTTGTTGCAGAGCAGCTCCTGTAGAGCAGCTCAGGCTGGCTAGGCCAGGTTTAGCTAAGCCAGGCTCAGTACCTGCAGGGTGTAGGAGTTGTTGTAGAGCAGCTCCACGGCCACGTCGGCCCCGTCCGTGGTGCACCTGCCGTAGTTGCCACCCAGGCGATTCACCTGGTCCTGTGGGGACACAAAGGAGCTGGGCTGATTAATTAGCAGGGTTCATTAATTAGTGCCCCGAGTGATTAGCAGGGTTAATTGGAGCCCTGGGTGACGAGCAGGGTTAATTAGAGCCAGCCATCACCCTCAGGACTGCACTGCGGGAAGGGCAGGGAGTTAATGAGCAGCAGAGCTGGGCCTTGGTAATTAATATCAGGGAAACAATATAGATTAATGTAATTAATAAACAACATATTATATACATTAATAGTTTATATTTTATATATAAAATGTATTAAATCTATGAAATATATTATGTGTTATGTATTAAGTGGGAATGAAATCAGGCTCCAGCATTTTGAGAGCCAAAAGAACATTTGGGATCTTTTTATTTGGGGCTGAGCCCAGTGAGGGGACAAGAGGACCCCGAGCCTGCCGGGTGTCCCTGTGCCACCAGCGGGGACATCCCAACCCTTGGTGGTGCCAACCCTCCTGGACTCCAAACGGCCACGTTTGGGATCGTTTTATTTGGACCTGAGCACAAGGAGAGGAAGAAGAGAGGAAGGAGAGGACCCCAAGCCCACCAGGTGTCCCCGTGCCCACAAGGGGCCGTGCCCACCTGGCGGATGCCAAAAGGGATGGGATGGGATGGGATGGGATGGGATGGGATGGTTTCACCCACGCCCACCTGGCGGATGCCAGAAGGGATGGTTTGGGATGGCTGGGATTAGTTTGATTTGGGATGGCTGTGTTTGGTTTGGTTTGGGATGGTTTGGGATGGTTTCACCCATGCCCACCTGGCCGATGCCAAAAGGGATGGGATTGTTTGGGATGGAATGGGATGGTTTGGGATGGATGGTTTGGGATGGTCTGGGATGACCTGGGATGGTCTGGGATGGTTTCACCCACGCCCACCTGGCGGATACCAAAAGGGATGGTTTGGGATGGCTGGGATTGGTTTGGTTTGGGATGGCTGGGTTTGGTTTGGGATGGTTTGGGATGGCTGGGTTTGGTCTGGGATGGTTTGGTCTGGGGTGGTTGGTTTGGTTTGGGATGGTTTGGGATGGTTTCACCCATGCCCACCTGGCCGATGCCAAAAGGGATGGGATTGTTTGGGATGGAATGGGATGGTTTGGGATGGATGGTTTGGGATGGTCTGGGATGACCTGGGATGGTCTGGGATGGTTTCACCCACGCCCACCTGGCGGATACCAAAAGGGATGGTTTGGGATGGCTGGGATTGGTTTGGTTTGGGATGGCTGGGTTTGGTTTGGGATGGTTTGGGATGGCTGGGTTTGGTCTGGGATGGTTTGGGATGGCTGGGTTTGGTCTGGGATGGTTTGGTTTGGGATGGTTTGGGATGGTTTGGGATGGTCTGGCATGGTCTGCCCCACGCCCACCTGGCGGATGCCGATGGTGGTGGCGATGCCCGGGCGGATGTGGAAGCCCTCGTGCTCCAGGAACGGCGTCTGGTTGTGGCTGTGGATCATCACCTTCACCCCGGCCACGGTGGACAGCAGCGGGATGTGCTCCTTCTGCTCGGCCCGCAGGATCAGGGACAGCCCTGGGGACACACAGGGGGACAGGAGATCAGCTGGGGGACAGCAGGACAGCTGGGGGGACAGGAGGACAGCTGGGGGACAGATCAGATGGGGGACAGCAGGACAGCTGGGGGGACAGGAGGACAGCTCCCACTGCTGGGTAAAGGATCAGGGACAGCCCTGGGGACACACAGGGGGACAGGAGGACAGCTGGGGGACAGCAGGACAGCTGGGGGACAGCAGGACAGCGGGGGGACAGCAGGACAGCTCCCAGTGCTGGGCAAAGGAGCAGGGACAGTCCTGGGGACACACAGTGGGACAGGAGATCAGCTTGGGGACAGGAGGACACCTGGGGGGGACAGGAGGACAGCTGGGGGGACAGGAGGACAGCTGGAGCACCCAGCGCTGGGCAAATCCCTCCAGTCTGGGTTTGGGTCTCAGATTTGGGCTCTGGGATCCCTCAAGAGCCATGTTCAATCCTTTGAGCCCTGGTGACAGTGGCAGCTATTCCAAGCCCTCAATAACCCCATAATATTATAAATATATATGTATAAAATAAATGATAAGTGATAAATAATTATTAATAATAAACTTATAAGTAAAATCCAAATCCCTCCTGTTTGGGTTCGGGTCCCAGATTTGGGCTCTGGGATCCCTCAAGAGCCATTTTTAATCCTCAGAGCCCTGGTGACAATGGCACCTAGTCCAAACCTTCAATAATCCCATAATAAACAATAAAAACCCTATAAATAAAACCCAATAAACCCCAATATTCTGCAATAAACATTGTAAGAATATCCTGCTCCAAACTAAAAAGAAATTCTGTTTCTTTAAGCCCAGATGTGGCTGGCATGGCTGTCACACAAGCCAATAATTTGTGCCACCAGACCAAAAGAGAGGCCAAAATTTGCTACTAAATCCTGCACTAAGGACCAATATAATTATTTATCTTAATTTCAGCCCTTTTTGCCCATTTTGCAGATCACTCACCATAAGGAATTCCTGGTTTTGTGGCTGCCCAGAAGGGATCTGTCCCCTTGCTGTTGAAAGTGTAGCAGCTCCCAAAAACTGGGTGGTGGAAGTGAACATAATCACTGGAAAATCAGAGATTTGATGGACTTTTAATGGAAGATCAAGAGAAACGTGATGGGGTTTTAATTACAAGTGTGACACCACCTTAATTCCAAGCTGGACGTGTTTGGGACAGGGGGAAGGAGCTGTGCATTCCCTGGAAACCCCAAATTCACAGAAACACAGAGTCACAGGATCCCCAGGTTGGGAGAGACCTTCAAGACCATGGAGTCCAACCCAGCCCCAACACCTCAGCCAAACCCCGGCACCCAGTGCCACGTCCAGGGATGGTGACTCCAGCACCTCCCTGGCTCCTGGGAATTCCCAAAATTCCCCCAAATTCACAGATTCCCCATGTTGGAAGAGACCTTCAAGACTATGGAGTCCAACCCAGCCCCAACTCAACCCTGGCAGCCAGTGCCACATCCAGGCTTTGTTAAACCCACCCAGGGATGGTGGCTCCAGCACCTCCCCGGTTCCTGGGAATTCCCAAAATTCCCCCAAATTCTCAGAATTCCCCGATTCACAGAATTCACAGGATCCCCAGGTTGGGAGAGACCTTCAAGACCGTGGAGTCCAACCCAGCCCCAACTCAACCCTGGCAGCCAGTGCCACACCAGGCTTTGTTAAACCCACCCAGGGATGGTGACTCCAGCACCTCCCTGGCTCCTGGGAATTCCCAAAATTCCCCCAAATTCTCAGAATCCCCAGGCTGGAAGAGACCTTCAAGAGCATTGAGTCCAACCTAGCCCCAACTCAACCCTGGCATCCAGTTCCACACCAGGCTTTGTCAAACCCACCCAGGGATGGTGGCTCCAGCCCCTCCAGAACTTCACCCCCTCTCTGTACAACACCTCTCCCCGACCTCCCAGCTGCACTTCCCCCGGTGCCCCCCGGGGCTGTGAGCCCCTGTCCCACCCACCTGGGCCTGCAGGGCTCCCCGTCATACTGGCAGGAGTAGACCAGGTCCTGGAAGCGCTGCTGGTGCCGGGCCAGCGCCGGGGGCAGCTGGGCCATGACGTTCATGTAGTGGAAGCGGTACCACTCCAGCAGGGCGTCCATGCCCGACGGGTGCGAGTTGTAGAAGCAATTCCCGCCTGTGGAATTGCACTGGGACACCGGGAAAGGGCAGGGGGGGAAGGGAAAAGGAGCTGTGGTTGGTGGGGGAATTGTCGGTGTTATGTGGTAAGAGTTGTTGTGTTGTGTTGTGTTATGTTATGTTATATATTATATTGTATTACATTATATTACATTATATTACATTATATCGTATAATATTACATTATATTATATCATATCATATCATATTGTCATATGATATATTTTTAATATATATATATATATCTAAATTATTGTATTATATGGGAACTATTATTATCCCTATAATAGTAATAGATTATTACCATAATATATTACTACCATAGGAATTATTATTACAGTATAATAATTATTGTTATAGTATATTATATTGTACATTATAATATAATGTATCTATTATATTATATTGTTTATATTTTTATATATATAAATAAACCCCCCTATTATTATTCCCAGAATAGTGATAGATTATTTTGATGTAAATCCCATCCAGGTATTTTGGGGTGAATCCCCAGTTTCTTTGGGGTGAATCCCCATCCCAATCCCCAGGGATTTTTTTGGGGTGAACTCCCAGGTATTTTGGGGTGAATCCCCAGTTTCTTTGGTGAATCCCCAGGTATTTTGGAGTGAATCCGCAGGTATTTTGGGGTGAACTCCCAGGTATTTTGGGGTGCACCCCCCCCACCCCGAGGTGCCCCCGCTGCCCCGCCGCGCCGCTCACCAGCCGGAATCCCACTCTGGAATGTTTTTTGCCTGCCCTGGGGTCCCACATCCTGACCAGGGAGAAGTTGTGGCTGAGCCTGAAGCCAGCGCTGCTGAGGTTGGCCCAGGCCTGGACACATTTGGCCCTGTCCTTGTCCCTGTCCTTGTCCCTGTCCCTCAGGTGGGACAGCCTGGCCGAGGCCTTGGGGCCGTACAGGAAGGTCAGCGACTCCTCGGCCATGAGCTCCAGCTGCTCCAGCTGCTCACTGACCAGCTCAAACCTGCAGGGATTGGGGAAAAAAATCAACATTTTGGGGAAAATTCCACATTTCTGATCTCTCACTGACCAGCTCAAACCTGCAGGGATTGGGGAAAAAAATCAACATTTGGGGAAAAATTCCACATTTCTAATCTCACAGGTTCCATGGAAAAGTTATTCCTTGGGATCTGTAGAAGAATATCCAGAAACTCTGCTGCTCAGCACACTTAACTCTAACAATATTCATTTAATATTTAATTCATTAATTTCTCAAACCTTTGGGACCCATCCCAGACCATTCCCAGACCTTTAGGGACCCATCCCTGACCATTCCCAAACCTTTGGGACACATCCCTGACCATTCCCAAACCTTTAGGGACGTGTCCCTGACCCTTCCCAAACCTTTGGGACCATCCAGATGTGCTGGGATGGCAGATGGGGGTGGCTGTGGGATGCATCCAAGGGGTTTCTGACCCTTCCCAAACCTTTAGGATGCATCCCAGACCATCCCCAAACCTTTAGGACCCATCCCAGACCATTCCCAAACCTTAGGACCCATCCCAGACCATTCCCAAACCTTAGGACCCATCCCAGACCATTCCCAAACCTTAGGACCCATCCCAGACCATTCCCAAACCTTAGGACCCATCCCAGACCATTCCCAAACCTTAGGACCCATCCCAGACCATTCCCAAACCTTAGGACCCATCCCAGACCATTCCCAAACCTTAGGACCCATCCCAGACCATTCCCAAACCTTAGGACCCATCCCAGACCATTCCCAAACCTTAGGACCCATCCCAGACCATTCCCAAACCTTAGGACCCATCCCAGACCATTCCCAAACCTTAGGACCCATCCCAGACCATTCCCAAACCTTAGGACCCATCCCAGACCATTCCCAAACCTTAGGACCCATCCCAGACCATTCCCAAACCTTAGGACCCATCCCAGACCATTCCCAAACCTTAGGACCCATCCCAGACCATTCCCAAACCTTAGGACCCATCCCAGACCATTCCCAAACCTTAGGACCCATCCCAGACCATTCCCAAACCTTAGGACCCATCCCAGACCATTCCCAAACCTTAGGACCCATCCCAGACCATTCCCAAACCTTAGGACCCCTCCCAGACCATCCCCAAACCTTTAGGACGTGTCCTTGCCCACCCCCAAACCTCAGCTGACCTGTAGGGATCCAGGTTGCAGATGGTGACGGCCGGGAACATTTTGGGCTCGGAGTCCATGGACATGGTGAGCACCACGGGGTAGGCCCAGAACTGGCTGAACATGAGGGCAAACTGCCAGTAGAGCATGCCCAGGCTGGCCAGCAGCAGCAGCGTCCAGAACGCCGTCTTCATGCGGTTCCTGCCGGAGCACACCAGGCGGATGGTGCCGTGGATCGTGGTGTTCTTGCAGAAGAACTCAAACATCTCCTTGTAGGAGCTGTAGAACTCGATCAGCCCTTCCTCAGCTGCTGCTGCTCCTCCTCTTCCTCCTCCTGGCAGCTCTGGCTCCATCATCTAAATGGCTTCCTGGGCGTGGGAAACAATGGAAAATCGTGTTAATCTGAGGGAAAGACTCTTCCAAAGAGGCTTTTTCAAACAGGCCTTGTCCCAAAGAGGTCTTTTCAAAGGGGCGTTTTCCAAAGGGGCGTTTTCCAAAGAGGACTTTTTTCCAAAGAGGCTTCTCCCAAATGGGCTTTTCCAAAGAGGTCTCTTCCTAAGAGGGCTTGTCCAAAGAGGCCTTTTCCAAATGGCCATTTCCAAAACAACTTCTTCCAAATGGGCTTCTCCAAAGAACCCTTTTCCAAATGGCTTTTTGCAAAGAAACTTTTCCCAAACGGGCTTCTCCAAAGAACCCTTTCCCAGATGGCCTTCTCCAAAGACCCCTTTCCCAAACGGCCTTTTCCAAAGAACCCTTTCCCAGATGGCCTTTTCCAAGGAGGCCTTTCCCAGGAGCATGCCCAGGCTGGCCAGCAGCAGCAGCGCCGGAGCACACCAGGCGGATGGTGCCGTGGATCGTGGTGTTCTTGCAGAAGAACTCAAACATCTCCTTGTAGGAGCTGTAGAACTCGATCAGCCCTTCCTCAGCTGCTGCTCCTCCTCTTCCTCCTCCTGGCAGCTCTGGTTCCATCATCTAAATGGCTTCCTGGGCATGGGAAACAATGGAAAATCGTGTTAATCTGAGGGAAAGACTCTTCCAAAGAGGCTTTTTCAATCAGGCTTTGTTCCAAAGAGGTCTTTTCCAAAGGGGTGTTTTCCAAAGAGGACTTTTTCCAAAGATGACTTTTTTCCAAAGAGGACTTTTTTTCCAAAGAGGCTTCTCCCAAATGGGCTTTTCCAAAGAGGTCTCTTCCCAAGAGGGCTTTTCCAATGAGGCCTTGTTCCAACGGGGCTTTTCCAAAGAAACCTTTTCCAAACGGGTTTTTCCCAAATGGGCCCTTTTCAAAGAGGATTTTTGAGGTCTTTTCCAAAGAAGTCACTTCTAAAGAGGCTTTTCCAAACAAAGCTTTTCCAGAGAAACCTTTTCCAAACAGGCTTTTCCAAAGAGGACTTTTCCAAACACAGTTTTTCCAAAGAGGCTTTTTCCAAAGAGGTCTTTTCCAAGACGCTTTTCCAAAGTGTTTTTTCCCAAGAGTCCTTTTCCAATCAGTTCCAAAGAGGCTTCTCCCAAATGGGCTTTTCCAAAGAGGTCACTTCCCAAGAGGGCTTTTCCAATGAGGCCTTGTTCCAACGGGGCTTTTCCAAAGAAACCTTTTCCAAACGGGTTTTTCCCAAATGGGCCCTTTTCAAAGAGGATTTTTGAGGTCTTTTCCAAAGAAGTCACTTCTAAAGAGGCTTTTCCAAACAAAGCTTTTCCAGAGAAACCTTTTCCAAACAGGCTTTTCCAAAGAGGACTTTTCCAAACACAGTTTTTCCAAAGAGGCTTTTTCCAAAGAGGTCTTTTCCAAGACGCTTTTCCAAACACTTTTCCAAAGTGTTTTTTCCCAAGAGTCCTTTTCCAATCAGGTTTTTTCCAAAGTTGCCTCTTCCAAAAAGGCCTTTGCAAAGAAGCTTTCCCAAAGTTTTGTTTTCCAAAGAAGCCTTTTCCAAGCAAATCCCCAAATGAGCTTGTAATTAGGAAAACCTGACAATAAAATTGCAGAGAATCTGAATGCAGGGAGATTCCCCCAGAATCTGCATCCAGGAAGGAGCAAAGAACCCAAATTCTGCTGCTGCTGAGGAATTCTGAGGAGCTTTCCCACACTTCCAGAGGATTTGGGACTAATGCTGGGAAGTTTGAGGCCAAAAAAGGTGAGGAATTTTCTTCTTTCCAAGAACTCCAAGGAGAAGGGTTTAATTCTGAAGCGTCAACTCATTGTGGATCCACACAGATTTGTAATTCATGATGAGGGAATATTGCTAGTGGAATATTCTGAGTTAAACATTATTATTTTTTATTTATTTATATATTTATTTTTATATATTATTTATTATATCTATTATTTATTACATTATTGTTTCTTATTTATTCTTGTTTTATGGGCCTAAACCAAGACTGGCTCAAAACCACTATGGCTTCATCCTTATGGCAAAGAATGAGGGAAAAATTCAACTTTCAATGGGTTGAATTAGAAAATTAGAAGCTGGTTTTAATTTTTTTCTGTAGGATCTCATTCTGCAGAATAAACAGGATGAATTCATCTCTGAACTCTGCTCCAAGATGAAATAGAGGAGGGGCAGGCAGGAATTTTGGGATGGAAATGGAGAAAAACAACAGTTGGATGCACAGAGGGGATGAGGCAAATTAGGGTGTGGAGAAAGAATTTAATTAAAAAACTGTAGAAACCACTGGAAATAAAATAAAAACACCCTCAGAGTGTTTATTGAAGGCCACCAAAATATTAATTAAATAATATTACAATATTATTAATATTAATTAACATTATTAACAGTGATTTTGCCAGATAAATAGGAATTTAGGTATTTGTATTTTACAGCAGTGAAAAGAAACTGAAAAGAAATTGAAAACCACTCAAAAGAGCAGCATAAATACAATTAAAAATCCAGATTTTTTTTATTATTATTATTTCTTCCAGTAATTAAAACATCTCCTGTGCAATTCCAGGGATAATTCCAGCATTTCTGAGCATGGAAAACTGGCTCTGGTGGCAGTGTGGGACAGCAGAGTGACGTTGGGACATTTCCGTGTCCTGAAGGTGACAAGGTGAGAATTCCCAACATGACAGCAGCCCGTGAATCACCCTGCTCATTATGTCATTAAAAGGAGTTTACTGAGTCCAAACTTTGGGACAACCTTTGCTCCAAATCAAAAAATAAAATAAAAATTAGGGATACAGGGATAGAGGTTGAAATCGAGGAGAGCAGAAGAAGGTAAAGGATTGCTGGGAGAGGTTCGGTGATGGAATTAAGGAAATTAATTTAATTTAATGAAATTAAAGCTCTGAGTCTTTAGCCATGAGGAAATGTGGAATTAAAAAAAAAAATATAATGACCCAAAATGAATGTGAAAAGAATCCAGCCCTTGCTCATGAGGAAATGTGGGAAAAAAAGGAAGAATTACTCAAAATGAATGCTAAAAGAATTTATCAAACACTGACTTTTTAAGTCTAATTTTGACTATAAAAACGCCCAGACAAAGCCTGGTTGTCAGAGATAATTCAGTTTTCAGGTGTTCTGAGTGGGATTTTAAGTTTATGGTGAATTCATCCTGTTTACATCTGCTTTGTTAAAATTAATCATTCCAAAAATTTAATAAACCAAAATAATTCAGAAACAATCTGGACAAACAGCACAGCCCAAGATTTATAGCCACAAATATAAAAACACACATTAAAAAAAAATCAAATTATAACCAAATTACACTGTACCTTGGCAGAAACTCTGACCTCTGAGCGTTTAGAGAAGCCACTAAACCCAGCCCTGGGCTTAACCCTGAGCAGAAATCCAGTCCTGGCCCAAAGCTGTGGGATTTGGGAGGCCCTGGAGCTGTCCAGCCTTTATGGAGGGAAGGGATGACATCAAAGGGGGCAGGACTGGAGGAAGAGATCATGGAAATTATTCAAAGCATGATCCAGGGAATAATAGGAAGTGAATAAACTGGACAGACGGGTTAACGTGGAGGTTACACTGAAGTTAAGCTGGGTTTAAGTGCTGCTGGCGTGTTCACCCCTCATGGTCAGAGTCATCGTTTTTAGGGAAATACCCATGGATTCCAGAATCTTCTTCCTGCTCTGAATTTTCCCATCTTTCTTCTTCCCACTCTGGATATTCCCATTTTTGTTCTTCCCACTCTGGATTTTTCCATCTAGGAACTTTGCTCTTCCCATTGTAGATTTTCCTATCTTGGCTCTTCCTGCTCTGGATTTTCCATCTTTGCTCTTCCTGCTCTGGATTTTCCATCTTTGCTCTTCCTGCTCTGGATTTTCCCATCTTTGCTCTTCCTGCTCTGGATTTTCCCATCTTTGCTTTTCCCACTCTGGATTTTCCATTTTGCGATGATTGCTCTTCTTCCCACTTCCCATCTTTGCTCTTCCTGCTCTGGATTTTCCCATCTTTGCTCTTCCTGCTCTGGATTTTCCCATCTTTGCTTTTCCCACTCTGGATTTTCCATCTAGGGAGGATTTTTGTTCTTCCCACTCTGGATTTTCCCATCTAGGAACTTTGCTCTTCCCATTGTAGATTTTCCTATCTTGGCTCTTCCTGCTCTGGATTTTCCATCTTTGCCCTTCCTGCTCTGGATTTCCCCATCTTTCCTCTTCCCATTCTGGATTTTCCCATCTTTCCTCTTCCCACTCTGGATTTTCCCATCTTTGTCCTTCCCACTCTGGATTTTCCCATCTTTGCTCTTCCTGCTCTAGATTTTCCCATTTTTGTTCTTCCCACTCTGGATTTTCCATCTAGGGAGGATCTTCCTGCTTTTTTTCCCTGTTTTCCAGAGCCTGGCAGGATCCCAGGCAATCGGAGCCATCAAGCCTTGAGGAATTGCATTCCTTGGCAGAACCAGCAGGATTTCCTCCTGCTTCTCCAAGAATATCCCACCCCAACTCCAATTCCAATCCCAATCCCATCCCAATTCCAATCCCATCCAGGATTCAGGTGCTGAGATGGAACCAGAACCAAACCAACCCCGTTCCAATCAGGTTTTGGGGTTGTGGTTGGGTTAAAGAGTGGCAGAAGTGATGGAGAAATGGATTTGGGGCACCAAGGAGAACTTCCATGATTATTTTTTGATCCTTTCCCATGTGGAAAACAGCTCTGCAGGAATATTTTTTAATGTGAAAATGGGAATATTTGGGATCCAGATAAGTTTAGAGCTTGCCTTTCCAAATTGGATTTCCTCCTCTCCCACTGGAAGCTGTAAAATATCAGTGTTTGCAATGAAAAGAAAAAAAAAAATTTGAAATTTCTTGTGAAATTTGATTCAGAAAGAAGGGGGAAAGGACAAAGGTGAAGGGAAAGAAACTCTCCTGATTTTGATTGATTTCAATCCTACTTACACTTGATTTATGCTGGATATACATGAATTTATAACCCCATACAATAATTATCCAAGGACAGAGTTTGCACAGTTCATACATAGAAACTTCCAAGAAAAATGGTAAAATTCCTAAATTTTTTTTACCTCTGCAGACTTTATTAATTAAATAGGATGTGATTCCATGAAAATGAACAAATTAAAAACAAAAATTAGAATTAAGTGGGAAAAGGAACCTTCTAGAAGGGGGAAAGGACAAAGGTGAAGGGAAAGAAACTCTCCTGATTTTGATTGATTTCAATCCTATTTACACTTGATTTATGCTGGATGTATATGAATTTATAACCCCATATAATAATTATCCAAGGACAGAGTTTGCATAGTTCATACATAAAAACTTCCAAGAAAAATGGTAAAATTCCTAAATTTTCTTTATCTCTACAGCCTTTATCAATTAAATAGGATGTGATTCCATGAAAATGAACAAATTAAAAACAAAAATTAGAATTAAGTGGGAAAAGGAACCTTCTGGCCACGTCCACAGCTGCTGCTCCTCAGGACACACAGAACAT